TTTCTGTTTTGTTTTTGCATTTTTTTAATTTCATTTAATCGTTTTATATTTTCATTGTTTGGATTGGTTATTCATGTAGAATAAAATTTTAAGATGATTTTTTTTTCAAACTATTGTTGCAATCATTTAATTTGTCACTTTTTTCCTTCATTTTTTCATTGTTTCTTGAGTTTTGATTTTTGTAGTGAAAACAAAAAAAAAAGAAAAAAAAAAACTAAACAATATAGGTCGGCCCAACCAAAAGGTTTGTGAGCCATGGGCCCAGGTTCGTGTTGGGCCCTACCCCTAACCTGCACGGGTTGTGCCGACATGACCCAGTACAATAGCCGTGCCAGCCTGGCATGGCCCACCATAATACTGTGGGCAGCATGAAAATCTGGGCCGTGTTACCCCACTAGCTACTGGGTCAATTGCACCATAATCTTGAAACCACCATCAAACCTACCGATGATAGTGAAAACGGACTTGGGGACACTTCCATTTGTAGTTAAAATGTTTGGGCCATTTTTCTCTTATATTTCCATTCCGTCTCACCAGTATCTTATTGCACTCGTGTTTCTACATATATGCAGTGGACACTTGTCAGGAGCTAGGGAGGTGTTTGTTTGTAATATTCCACCCTTTTTTTTTTGAATTCTTTGCATGGTAATTTTCTTTTGGAATGATAATGTATAGTTTTATAAAAAAAAAATCAGAATTTGCTCATCACAGAAAATACCTCACACACATCCCACCTGTGTATCGGGACAGATTCCCAGTGTATGGTCGTGACATGTTGTGACCTTGGTGGAGGCATCCAAAACATCTCTGTATTTCTATGTTTTTATTCATGGAAAAATATTCTTAATGCACAGCTGGAAGGGCTGTGAAGTGGGTGTAAGGACCAATTTTATGAGGAAATCAGATTACAAAGCCAACATAAGCTTGTTTGGTATACACATTTGTAAGCACCACAAGATTCAAATTAATGCTTGGTCATTGTTTGTCTGGTTTCTTCTTGAAGGAGCACTAGTTTATTCTCACTTTTACCCTCACTTCCACAGCATATTATCATTGTGCCACATAACTGGTTTTCTATTTTGTTCATTCAACTAGCTAATGACCACCCTGTATTATGTATGGGCATTGGGCAATTATGTTTATTATATTATTTGAGATTAATTAATCTGATTTGAGGTTTTTGTTTAATTTAAGACATTAAATTGGGTTTAATTTGTAATTGATGACTCATTCATTGAGTTTGGATTTCCTCCTCACACCCACCTCACAATACGTTGTAGCCATACATAGAAAACATCTCAATATAAATGAAATCATACAAATATGGGAGATGTTTCCAATACACATCTACAAGTGCTGTGAATTGATTGTAAGGAAGAAATCTGGATTCCATTTTCATTTGAAAGAGTGAGACCCCATACCATTGAATATTTTATGGTGAGTCTTACTTAATTAGGGTATTGAGCTAAAACTTTATATAAATCTCACATCATTTGAAATGGATAATTATAAATAGAATAAAAAAACATTGAGTTTTTTTGTGTTTGTATAATGGGCAACAAAATAATAGGGTGTAGCCCTCTCCTGGGGTGATCATGGACTGGGCCCAAGTTGGGCTTAGCAGCCATGCAAAGGGTTATAATATAATCAGACTCAGCTTTTAATAAGATTGGATGGAGCCTAATTTAAATCTAATCCAATTATATAAATATATCATCCAAATCTGGGATAATTAGATTAAATGTCAAATCTAACTATACATTTTCGGTATCTAACCCCCATGTCAGGTGAGGGCAGAATTCAATCCAAAATTTTTGGCACCTTCAAAAACACTGAGCTTAAGTGTTTAACAAATAGACCTGTTTACGGACTGGGTTTCGAGCCTAACTTTACATTGCATTGGGCTTGAGCTTCAGGCCCATTTAAATTTTAGCAAAAATCAAACCGAAGCCCGGCCCATGAATAGGTCTATTAGCAATCTTGTAAACAAATTCTATTATCGTGGTCATGATATTAAACAATACAATATCTGATGTAACCGTTTTTGGTCACGTACCATTTTTTGGGATGTGTAAAATTTTTTGGCTAAGTACCTCGTGTTTGACTTGGTGGTGACGTGCCTTGGTGATGAGCTACTTGGTGGCGAACTTCCCGGGGGAGAACTGCCTGGTGGCGAACTGCCT